CTCCTCCTCGTCCTCCTCCTCCTCCTCCTCCTCCTTATCATCATCATCAGCAGCAGCAAAAGCAGCAACGTCTCGTCATCGCCGTCGCCGTTCGTCATTCGACATCCTCATCATCAGCATAATCATACTCATCATCAGAATGAGCATCATCATCATCATCATCATCATCATCATCATCATCATCATCATCATCATCATAATCATCATCATCTTCATCAGCGGCAACATCATCATAATAGTAACCATGATCATCAACTTCATCTTCATGATTGTCAGCATCATCAAAATTATCCTCCTCCTTCTCCTCATCATCCTAATCATCATCATCAGCATCATCCCCATCCCCCTCTTCATCATCATCCGCATCAACAACCTCATTATCATCCTCATCATCCTCATCATCCTCATCATCACCACCATCGTCATCATCATCATCAACATCAGCAGCAAAATCATCACCGTCATCGCCATCGCCATCGCCATCGTCATCATCATCAACATCATCACCGCCATCACCATCGTCATCGCCGTCACCGAAACCATCACCAGCACCATCAACATCACCGTCACCATCAACATTTCGTCGTCATCATTATCATCATCATCATCATCAGCAGCAGCAGCATCAACATCATCATAACCACCATCATAACCACTACAATCATCGTCATGATCACCATCACCATCACCATCACTATGATCATCATCACAATCGCCATCGTAATCAATTTAACATCATCACCCTCATCGTCATCATCATCGTCATCGTCATAATCATCATCAGCACCGTCATCATCATAATCATCCTTATCATCCTCATCATCATCATCGTCATCGTCATCGTCGTCTTCTCCTCATCCTCATCGTCATCGTCGCCTCCTCCTCCTCCTCCTTCTCATCATCATCATCATCATCACCATCACCATCACGATCAACCTCATCATTATCGTCATCATCGTCGTCATCACCATCACCATTACCATCATCATCATCATCATCATCATCATCATCATCATCATCATCAACAACAACAACATCAGAATCAGCATCATCATCATCGCCATCATCATCAGCATCATCAGCATCAACATCAGCATTAGCATCAGCATCAGCATCAGCATCAGCATCATCATCGTCATCATCATCATCGTCATCGTCACCATCATCATCATCATCATCATCATCATCATCATCATCATCATCATCATCATCATCATCATCATCATCATCATCATCATCATCATCATCATCATCATCATCATCATCATCATCATCACCATCATCATCATCATCATCATCGTCATCGTCATCGTCATCGTCATCGCCATCGCCATCGTCATCGTCGTCCTCGTCGGCAGCAGCATCATTTCTGCTTCTTCCTTGTCGTCCCTGTCCTCCTCATCCTCCTCCTCGCCCTCCGTGGTCCTGACCGCCAGCACGCGATAATGTGCTGGGGTGGGGCTTGCGATGTGGTGGGTGGGGGAAGCGGATGGAGCGGAATAGTAGGGCTCCTGCTGCTGCTCCTCCTTCTCCCCTTCCAGGCTATGGCCCTACCGGTCGTGTTTACTTGAGCTTCCTGCTGGCACAAAGATGTTTTTTCGCAACCAGCTGGAACGTATGCTGCGGCGCAGGACTCAGCCCATGCTGCACGTGATCACACGGGCTGGAATAATGGTGCGGATTGCCTTCTCGGCTGGCCGAGGCGTCCTGATAGGTCCAGTCCCGCTTTGCATGTGCCTAGTGCCCCAGACAGACCGCTTTCGGAGGATAGTAGCCTGCGGACAGTGGACGCGGCAGCGGCCTCTAGGGCTGGGCCTCCGATTACTCTCAGGTGGTCTCAGGAGGTGCCAGGGGAGCTCCAGCGGTCTCTGAGGGCCTCTGGGTTCTCCGAAGCCTCTGGAGGCTTCCAGAGCCACTCGTGCCTCGAACCTCGAGCCGCGAACCTCGAGCCCCCTCGCCCCAAACGTTCAAAATCACACCGGCACAGGAACGAAAAGCACAAACGCTGAACGATGAGGCACGTGGTCGGCACGGCACGGCACGGAACGGCTAGTTTTTCAAATGCTGCAGACCACGCACGCCAGGGCACGGCACGACGCGCCACGGCAGCTCTTGTTTCCAAATGTCAGAATATCGAAACCTGTTTGTTCTCTGCGCACAACGGAAGCCCATTGCAGCATTCACGGCCATGGTAATGACCACTGAAACGCAAATCTAGATACAAGTCGCGATACATACATATATATATATATATACATATACACATATATATATATACATACATACATACATACATATATGTATACAGTAGGAGCTCGACCACAAGAAACCTTCCACAAGAAACCCAACTCTGAGACCCCAGGACGTCCATTTATTCTTGGTGTGGGAACGTCACGCTACCCATAGCACAACCATCGAAACCCAAGAAACCCGTGGGCACCCTGGAGGCAAGCAGGGTGTTTCTTGGCATGGGCCCCTACTGTATGCATCAACACTGAAC